TTAACCACTGGACCCGACATAAAACACAAATGTATGAAAACTCGTTCAACCAAGTGGAGAATAACGCGCACGGAGATCTTATTACGTTAATGTAAACACAGATACGAAATTCGTAGAAGTTTACTCTATTTCTAGTGCTTGATCGTAGTCGATAAAATATATCGATGAACGATTGAGAAAGAAAAGGCGTATCGTAAATAAGCTGTAAAACAAAGGAAATAAAGGGATAATGAAGGTGAGGTAAGCTTCTGGTATTTAAATTTTAATTAAAATAAAAGAAGCAGGACATTTTTATAGACTTTATACAATTATAGTTATGATAAACGTCAAATGTTTCGTTAAGTTTAAATTATTTTAGTAGGTTGACTTATTATGTATCATCATGTTTCTTAGAATTTGTTGTGTTCGCTTGTTTTCTTATATAAGCAATTCTAATGTTTAAATACTTTTCAGCAACGGCGAACTGCTTCTTGGGTAGAAGCTTTCTCTTCCGAGAAGGGTCACTGGGAAATCTGAAAATTCGTGTAATTTATGTGTTTAAATATTTTAAGTACAGATACTAATTATAATTTTTGCATTTATAATATTTTTATTTAATTATAAAAATTATTATTATAAATTTAATGACATCAGATTGTAGGATACTGTTATATGTATAAGTATTTTTAAGTGTTATTGTATTGTACAAATAACATCATCATTCATTCGGTCATATCGTCAAATATCGATATATTTTTCGACATGGTCAAGCAACAGTCGATATCAAATTGACTCACTTCACAATTTTAGTCACTGTTCTGAATGGTATAATCCAAACAAAAACAAACGACCAAGCCTAAAATTGCTTGATTACTGACAAGACCGATATAGGTACGTCCGCTCATATGTCGGGTCCAGTGGTTAATTCGTTCAAGTGTACGCCTATCAGTCACCATCCGTTTTTTATCCATCATGATTGATGGAATTGATTGACGCCTGCATGAGCGTGTAATGTACTCCTAAGTATGTATTGCCAAAGCTTGTTTGCTTTTTTCCTTATATATTAGTTATAGTATACAAATTTGTGTTTTCGTCTCGATCCACCTGCTTTTGTTTTTATAGGGTTGTAAGTTTTGGTTTTATAGGGCGGTAAAGCTTAAGGTAACCATATTACCCTGACGTACCTTAATATTTTCGCGTTGTAAGAATATCCCATATAGTCCCGTGGGTGTCGTATGAGGTGACAGAGGGAAACCGAAACAGGAGATAAGGAGCAGAATCTTCCTGATAACAACTCAAAATAAGAATAAACTGCGGCCACTAACTCGCCTGCCAACCGTAGCCATTATAGCTAAATGTTAAGACCAATTTACACTTCGACAAGTACAGTAGCGAGTTTAGTTACAGGGCAGTTGACAGTAATCGGTTAAGTGGGCAGTAGCGTTTAAACAATGTCTTCGTGGCGAGTTTAGTTAAGGACATAAGTTCTGCTGTGTTCTGCTCTGAAGGGTATAGAGAGGGCCAGTATAATTACAGGCTGCGAAGCATTATATCTTAGTCCTCGATGGCAACGCGTTTGTGCTTAAGTAGTCACTTATCATCTGGCTGGCTGTAAATGCGATTGTCACTTCAGATTTATTAAAAAAAATATGCTTGTATTGTGTCTATATGCTGGACGACCTTCTTTACCGTCTGGAAATAGGTGTGACCGTAGGGTGTGACATGTTAACGGAGACACGAACGTCTACAGTACTGATATTGTACAAAAAAATAAAAACAAAAATTTTGAATTTAATAAATTAAAATCTATCGAAAATCAAATCATATCCACCCTACTTTACGAACGGCAATAAATCAATAAATTTAGTAGGCATCTTTAATCTTGTTACTTCGCAGGGTCACGGGCTTAAGGGCAAAGGGCAAGGTAATTGTTAAAAAAAAAATTCAAATATTAATTCAAAATTTTTGTTTTTAGTTTTTGTAAAATATCAGTGCCATTCTACTCCGTTCACATGTTGCACCCTATTTATTCCCAGACGATAAAAAAGGTTATCGCACAGATTATAATCTGTGGGTCATCCAGTATATAAAGCGAAATACCTACCCATTACTGACTGATTCATCACGATATCTCTAAAACTATACACCCGTACATTTTGATTAACTTGAAATTTAGTATAGTTACTCATTTCGAAATGCAGACGCTCACTAAGAACGGATTTTACGTAATTCCCATAAAAAAATCTTGGTATTTAATATGTACGTTATTATCGTCTATTATCGTGCGCTCAGCGAAGCGAATGCGTATCAGCTAGTGGTTAAATGAAATGAAAGACACCATTTTAAAAGAATATATTGCACAAAATGTGTTAAGTCTAATCAATAAATTAAAGTTATTTACATGAAAAAGATTTACATAATGGACGATACATTTTTTAACTTAAAATAAGCCACTGCTTGATTTACAATCCCTGGTGGTAAGTGGTGATGTAGTCGTAGATATTAAATCACACTGTCTTATGGTACACAAGCCACACACGGTCGGTTCAACAGATCATTTCAACTGATCATTATAAAAGATATCATAACTTATATATAAAACTCCGATTTTGTAGTTTATATATCGAAGAAAATATTTAAAAAAAAACATTTTTGAACTGATCAGTTGAAATGATCAGTTGAACTGATCGTGTGTGGCGTTCATTACAAAATCCTATTCAATATTTTCTTAAAGATGCTAAGGTTGTAATCGGATGGAAAAACTGACGCAGGCAGATTATTCTACTTGTTTTCTTTGCTTTATTTTCAAAGCTTACAGTGCCTAAGTTGAATTTAATCTATATTAATTTTAACGTGTGTTTGTATAATTAATAGACGTTTACATAATTTGTTTATTTAAGTGTTTAGATATTTATGTTCACAGAATACTATAATACACAATAGAACGGCTGTCAACTTTATTTTATACGAGGATTGGCTTCGCCAAATCCGATTCGCTGTGTTGACAGACTGAGTAAATTTACATATTTTAGACTTTTGATTATTGTTCAAGAACATCATTAAATTTGAATACATATTTATTTGTAAATAGGGTGCAATTTGGCATTTTCTAAATAATTTGCATGCGAAATTTGGAAACGATTGTAACGTCAAAACACATCTCGTGTTGACATTAAATTTATACGTGTGAATTGACACGTTAGTGACATTTTAGTGGCTACGCGGGCTCCGCCCACTCCCCCGTTCTATTATGTATGAATTATAGTATTCTATGTTTATGTTTAATACTGTTTTATTATACTTTAAAAAGTCACTTATCCTAATATAACAAATTAAATATAGCATTTTTCTAAATAAACTATATTAAAAAAATGTGAAGATCCACGATGGTAAAAATATAATAAAATTGAAGGTGGTCGGGTAACAATACGGCGGTCGATAAGGGTATACACGTTCGAATGTACCCTTGCCGACGACGGTGCTGCCAGATTTAGAAAATTTGCTAAATTTTCAGCAACATGTATATTATTAAAATAACAACATCTTTATATTAATTTTAAATAAACATATTTAATATTTCTCGGTAACGTCATTGTGGAACCTTTTACCCTCTATTCATTCATAAACTCTTGAGGCACATTGTAGTACATTAGGACAGACGTAAGAAACGTAATTATTATGTCGAAACCTAAATGTAAACCAGACGCAAAGATCTTTTCACAAACTGTGATAAAAGGACCTGCTATATATGGTAACTCAATCAAATGCCAGAACTTCATGAGGTAGGTTTGCATACGATAAATGAATATAACAAATTAAATGCTGATAATGGTAATGTGTACTCTTGTTATTCTCCTAAGCGTTTAAAATACGCACATAGTTTTGCTACGATTTCTAGCTGTAATAATCGTGAAGTTGCTGTTTAAATCGTACAACACAGTGCAATGTTGCTTAGCCTTAATGTTGCTAGACATTTATAGATACAACAAAGCATCGTTGGCGATGTATTACTCTTATAAATTGTTGTACAATAACAATGTAGTAAAAATGTCGCTCGCAATATTTCTCAACTGTAGTTATTAGCAAAGTTTCTAGCTAAATGACATTTTTTAAATACGTTTACAAGTCCTTTTATATGTAACTAACGTTGCTGGCACAGTAGAAGTAATTGGAGAAATACGTTTTTAAATTTACAAGACTTATATTTTTCAAATAGAAATGATACTGCATTCATTAAAGTTGTTCAAATACAATACAACTTTCAAATAAATTTGACACGCGCCAACTGTAAGTTAATTGTACTATACCTGTAACCTTTGCGTCAGTGCAAGTAATAAGTTGATAAAGTTTTAACGCAATCTGATGAACGGTAATGCACCGCATAAAATACCAACAAATACAAAATTATTTTTATATAGTACCAGCTATCTGCCCTAACAACTTCATTGAATGCAGTATCATTTCTATTTGAAAAATATAACTCTTGCTAATAAATATCTGGATTCCACAAGAGCGCCACCTATCGCGTACAAATATGCCTATAACCTTCCCGGAAGTTCAAGCAATTATGTTGATAAAGTTTTACCGCAATGGGATGAACGGTATAGTAGCGCATAAAATGCGAACAAACAGATGTTAATTTTTATATATTAGATGATTATGTATTACAAGATTAGATGGGAGATGCTTGCGTAGTATCGTACGTATTCAGAGAAAGAAATGTGTTTTCTTTTCGTTGATGTAGCATAATATTACTTTATAAATAATCACACATGCGAAATATTAACTATAATTTTTACCCGTCTAATTAAATAAACTCTACATTAATATTACACATTGTCTCGTGTGTAATGAACAATATCATTTACTATTTAAAAAAATCTTTAATTCAAGATTACTTATAGAATTTAACTGAATTTTATTATACATTTGGCAGGTTTTCGGTTAAAAATTTAAGTACAACATAGAGGCGTGATGGTTGACATAATTTTTTTCATATAATTTAATGGAAGAATTATTTCTTAATCAACTATACTAAATGCATCATTAAGGTTTTGAGGGCTAAAAGCAACGTTGCTATTCCTATAATTGACATATGGTGAAATAGTTGCTGATGATACAACGTCTGGGTCTACCGCTCCTTCCGGTGGAGCAAAGTCTTCATCATCGGATGCCATTGGATCGTTAGGGTGAAATTTAGGCACATATCTTGCCGGTGGTTCCGCATATCTGCCTCCGACTACAACCTGTTCTTCGGGAAGGTTCTTCTCATTTGTTTTTTTAGTCTTCCACGGCCTATCCATAACTTTTGTTGTATCTATAGGTTTTGATAATTTCTTGTTCTTTTTGTGAGTATTCATTTCACGTCTCTTCTCGTATTCAAAAATATCTGAATAAGAATTCATATCGTCATCTGAATCTGATGGGTTTTCGTATTCTGGCTTTCTTATAAATGACGGTCGTTTGTCGGAAGCGGCATAGTTCAAATCTAAATAATTTAGGTGATAAGACTGCCATGATTTTAAAGCCTGCCCCTCAAAATCTTGATTATCTAAATCAATAGGATCTGAAAATATATGAGATGTTAAGTATGCGTCACTTGTTGCTGATTTTATAGGGTTTCTGTAAGAGTTCACTGGAGGTTCTCCATAAGTTACTTTAGGAAAGTGATAATCAAGCATATAGTCTGTTGGTGGCTCCCCAAATCCTAGTGGTTCTGGAGTAACGTAGTAGGTGGGGTTTCTTTTTGATGGAGCATATACCGGTTTGTAGCTCGGAGTTTTCTTGTAACCATACCGCATTTTTGGTGGGCGTTTATAATAGCTTGGTGGGCCATATTTAGGCAAGTATTTTCTGCTGGGTTTTGTAGAGTGATAATTTGTTCGAGTTATTCCATATCTGGGTTTCGGTCTTCTGTACTTTTGATTCGAAATTCTCCTGTAGCTCACATTAGGTCTATGCTTGAATATAGGTTGCACGGGTATGTATTTGATAATTACGGATGCGTGTCTCTTCGTCACTTGTTTTCCTAATTTTTCTTCGCTAAGATCTTGATTCTGAAGTTGGTTTCTAGGTTCTACTTGTGCACAGCTCGCGGTTACTGCAATCTGAAATCAAAAAGTTTTTGCTAAATTATAATGTAACCGTAAAAAAAAACTCGAGGGACTTTATACCTTTATCTATTTTAACTTAACTTTACTTTTCCCCAGGATCCTTCAATATATAGTGTACACTAGTGATTTACCTAAACAATCTATATATCCCACGGGTTAATTAGTAGTAAGAAATGGCGGTGCGCGCTCTGGTTATGAGATAGCGCTGTAATCGATCTTTATATGTGGCAGAGCCACGCTGCGGCTATATTATAGTTGTAGCTCGAATGGGTCGGCTCGACCAGGAAAGGAGCTCTCACAGAATACCAACAAAAATAGCAGCTTAATACTGCTGTGTTTCGTATGGTGAGTGTAGAGATCCGAAGACCCTTTTTTACTAGTTACGAGGCATTCCGTCTTAGTCCTCAGGGGTGACAACGCACCTGCGTTTTGATTCTAAGTCGAGGATAAATGTGGATGTCTATGGGCCACAGCATCCACTTACCATCAGGTGGACTGTGTGCTCGTTTGTCACCCTTATTCTATAAGAAAAAAAAAATGGACACCGAAAAACAACGGAAGTTAAATCATGCTTTTGAAGATTCCGAAATATTCTTTTATATGTATAGGAGCTCCATAGAACTCTGTTCTACAGAGGTCGTTGACTTTTCGCGAGCTAACTTGCCCCCAATTTTCGATTTACAGAAAAAACTTCAAATCCCCGCTGTCCCATAACAATTGTTTTTTTGTTCAGCATGCCGTTCAGTTAACATTGACTATTTTTTTAAATAAATATTAGTAATCTTATTAACTAACATTACTAATATTCCTTTAACCACTCCTGGTAAGCTTGAAGTGCTTGTGCTAGGAGTGGTTCACGACAGTAGTCAAATGGCGGATTCGAACCCGCGATCTTTTGAGTTCGCGATCCGTGCCCTGCCATTAGGCTACTGTCGCTTCCAATTATAATATTGATTAATATTGACATTGACAAGGACATAGAGATGAAACAAATTCAACAAATTCCTAGAGATGAAAGAATCCTACCAATTCTTTCATGTCTAGGAGCTTGTCTGTCTGGAGTGGTAGTAGCCTTCTTGCATATATCTACCGCCAAATAGCAGTGCGTGAACTGTCGCGTTTCTGTCTGAAGGGTATAATATTAAAGGACAGAATTTTTAAGATATTTTTTAATTATTTTTTCTTCACCATTTGCCTATATTACTAATCCTGTAGAGAGGATTGCCTTAATCGCAACGCTTGGCAGGTTTAAATAACAGTTTATCGAGATTGTCGCCATTCCTGTGTGTCACTCTCCGTTTCTTCGGGGCTTTCTCTGAGACAGAGTCACACAACCTAGTAGCCAAGATTCTACACCAGAAGCTCGCTCTGAAATACGGTCTCATAGCGGAAACTGCCTTATTATAAGTACTTGCCGGACCGGGCCATCATCACAGACAGGACTGTTCTTGCGAAAAAGCCTGTCTGGAGCTGGCTCACGAGGTGACCGACATGTGGGGTGGTCTGCCGACTAAAATTATTCCTGTAGTCGTCTCTGCTTATGGGCTAATCCTGGTCAGTCTATCGGGTCATCTGAGGCGACTGGAACTCCGTGACGGACCGCTCCGGGCTCAAATGCAGAAGGAGGTGCTCCTTGATACCAGCCGCATCATCTGCCAGTTTCTTTCCCTTTCCTCCTAACCCTCGGCCGTTTAGTCTCCCCTGCCGAGGGCTTCCATCTGGTTGGGCTTTTATTTATTCATGTATTTTTGGTATTTATTTTATTTCATTGATATTTATGTCTATTTATCATTTCATTTATAAGTATATATTTACCAACAGGATGAGAAAACTATATATATGCCCCAATCAATAATAGATTTATTGTACTACCGTGCACAATAGTTAAAGATGACATATTATAAAACGTATCAAAAGGTGCCTCATCAAGCGTGCAATAGATTTACAATTTTACTTTTAAACATATATAGTATTCACATTTAACAGATTACATTTATACAATTTACATTTAACTGATGATAGATTTAAAATTAACTTATAAAATAAAATATAAGAATAAAGAACACGGTATTAACTCTTAGAATTATAGAATTCATTTAGGGTATAAAACGTACTTGTATGTTCCACCAACTAGTTTTCTAAATTACGTTTGAATTTGGCCACTACACGGTTACATTCACGAATATACCAGTAAATAAATGTTAAGACTGGCAACATGGGACAGCGTTTAAATGTGCGAGAGATTTGGTACCACCGTATTGGTAGTGATAATAAAAAAAATACGGTTGGTGAGGCCTATCTTTTTTTATTATTGTTAGAAGTGAACGCTCAAACAAAAGCAAGTTGTCATCCAAAGCTACCTGATTTGCCTCTTATTCGATAAAATCATGTACTAAAATGATAGACTGGTTGCAATGTTAGTGATATGGAGACAAAAATGCAAAACAAAAGTAGTTACCTACATAGTATTCAATCTTTTACAATGGTACGGGATCCTTCAGGCGTGAGTCCGACTCGCACTTGACCGGTTTTATTTTAACTATAATAAGCATATAAAGCAAATATTTTGACCACTATTCAAATTCAAGTTGTCATCCAAAGCTACCTGATTTGACTCTTATTCGATAAAATCATATACTAAAGTGATAGACTGGTTGCAATGTTAGTGATATGGAGACAAAAATGCAAAACAAATGTTGAGTCAAGCTGGGTTACAAATCTGGAATCCGGGCCCATAACCAGATTTTATGACTACTAGGTTACGTGTATCGTCAAACAATTTGATCTGCATATAGTTATGTTATTGTTTTTATATCATCATGCTCTACTGCGTGTTTACTTAGTGTCTCGCGTGAACACTTTTTCCTCTCGCAAAATCTGATTGAAAAACTGGCAGGAATCGTACATCGCGTGTGATGCGAGCCTCATAGTTTTCTCTTGGATACACAGATGTATTTCATCTACAACTACATATGTCAAGCGTTTATAAATTGTTAGATGGTTAACGTTTACGTTTAAGAAATAAAAGATCAATTAAAGGGTGCTAAGCAGATGGAAAGCTTCTATTGAAGAATAATCATTTGAAATCAGAATTTGATAAATACGAGAGATCTGAACATATTAAACTCCTTCATTTCATATACAACTATGACATTGGGACGTCAAACACCTTAGAGCACCAAGGTAGTAAGGTATGTATTATAAAAGAAAATAAAATAAAATAAAATAAATTTATTCACAATAAATATGGAACAAGGATGTTCTTATAAAATATTTATAGTTCTTATAAATATGTATAGTATTCTATGATTACACACAATCGCTTGTTATCGTTACTAAAATAATGTAAATTTTTTTCTAAACACTAGGATTAAAGTATGATTTTTATACGTGTTATGACAGTTTTCTGCATTAATTTATTGCAGTAGTGGCCTTTTGTAAAACAAACCTACAAATTTCCTAGTTAGAGGCATAAGTTACCCAAAACACGGTCTTCAAACAATGCTTGAGTTAATCTGTCTCCAATTTACATTAGGCTGCGGCACCGTTAACTTTCGCTGTCAGTTATGGTAATGATCACAGTGGGCGAAGTTTAAAATAATTAGCAATTCGAGTTACAAGAAATATGTTAATTAATTTACCGTTAAAGATAAATTTTTACATTTGTATATTTGGGGCTAGCGTGGAGGTAAGTAGGTTATTTATCACACAAAAGTTTTCTGAATGATTATATGCACATTCGTTGATGGTTGGCTTGTAACCATAAACAATTTGTGTAGTAAAAAAATTGATGGATTTGTTGTGACTGCCCCCGTGTCTCCGTATGAAGAGGGTTACTATAATATTATAGAAACATAACTGATAATATTCCCTTGAAATGAGGCGATTGCTACCTAGCTGTTTTTTTTTACTTTAAACTTACTTACTTGCCAGCCTAGAACCGGAACATTTGTCCCTTCCTCTTCCTATCTTCTCCCAACTCAAAGTGTTTTTAACGCTTGAAGACCTTACTTTACAGTCAGCACATTCCAAACGGAATACGATTTTCTTTGTAGTTTTCGACTTTTTCTAGAAAATGGGTCTGATTGTCAACCATTACCCTGCTGTTTACGATAGTAACGCGTTCTGCCCTGCACAGCGTGTCTTTGCTTGGACTTTTTGTACTGAGATACCTTGTGAATCTAGTGGCACTTGCATTTTTTGCAGTATATTCTGCGTTGTTTTGGTACGCTCAAAATTTTGGTGTTTTACTTTATCAATTGTAAATTGCTATACCATAAAACATAGTTCATAGAAAACCAGTGGTAACTGGTAAATGGCATAAAAATAACTGATAAATGGGTTTTAGTAAGTATTTTGTATATTGAAGGCGTAAGAAAATCTACTACTTGTACGTGGTAGAGTCATGCTGCAACTATGTTTTAGTATGGATGGACCGGAGAAGTGTGGCGTTCTGTGACCGCTTTCTAAGAATGCCAGCATAAAATTACAGCTTAATACTGTATCGTATGGTGATTGTACAGAAGTAAGAAGAGAACTGGTGACCCTTTTTACTTGGTGACACTTTTTACTTTTTGCTCCGGGGTTCGCCATCTCAGTTATCAGGGGTAGCAACGCATCTGCATTTTGTTTCTTAATTGAGGATACATGTTAGATGTGTGGTGGTTGTAGTGCTATATTCAGTAAGAATTATAAATTAAAATCATATTTAAAAATCATAGGGGGTTTAGAAGACGTGATTTCATATTTTATAAAACTATTTTAAAAGTAGGTACCTACATAGTATTAAATCTTTTACAATGGTACGGGACCCTTCAGGCGTGAGTCCGAATCGCACTTGACCGGTTTTATTTTAACTATAATAAGCTTATAAAGCAAATATTTTGACCAATATTCCACCCGTATCCCTTCGATTACTACCCTTACTACTTATGAGTCGTTACAACACTACTTAAGTGTAGAGCTCAGTGACTTAGCTTTACAAAAGCATGTTCATTCTTACTTCGTAGCCATTTACGTTGTAATCGGAAACAAAGACGCTATAACAATTTATTCCAATCCTGTAACCACGCATTTTTTTACAAAATAAGGGTCGTAAACGGGCACGCACGCACCTGATGGTAAGTGTCTGTTTTGGTCTATAGACATCTACTTCCATCTTCGATTAAGAATCAAAATGCAAATACGTTGTCACCCCCGGGGATTAAGATAGCACGCCGCATGCATGCATCTAGTAAAAAAGGTCGTCTTCCGTTCTCTACGCTCACCATACGAAACACAGCACATAAAGCTACTAATTCGCTCTGGTATTCTGAGAGAGCGTTGTCCTTCCCCGGTTGATCCAAACTATTTGTACTACAAGTACAATATAGGTGCAGCGTAGCTTTACCACGGACGGACAGCATTGCGAACGACGCAGCACATTTTAACATTTTTGCGATATTGATATAATTTTATGCGTTGTGAAACTTTCTAAAGTTGTAATGTCCAATAAAACATACAACAGGACAAACGACAGCGTCCGTTAGAAACAACGTAACATGAGCGTCGGCGTAATTTTATACAGTTAGAAAACTGAGAAAGCAAATGAAACGGAATTATAATGTAACGTATATATTATAAAGTTGACCCACACTTCTTAGAATCGCATAACAAATAGACTTGTTTCTTTTGAAATATTTTAATACTAGATGACTACTTTGACAGCGTCTAACGCCCAAACTTTGCTTTGTCTAATAGATATTTAAATTCGCATATTGTTGAAGAGCCATGGTAGCACAGATGGTTTGGCGCTTGCTGTAAATTTCACATTATGCGAGTTACCCGGGTTCGATCCCCGCCGCCAACAATGAAATTGTTACTTGCAATTTTAAGCGCTGATTTACCACGTGCCCGGCGGTAAATGAAAACATCGTGAGGAAACCTGTATATCTGAGAAAGAAGACAAAAATGTGTTGAACATGTGCGTGGCGGGCACTTCCTTGCCTAAAAACTCAATGAAAAAGAGGGGAGGCCTGCGCCCAGCTGTGGGACGTATGTAGATTGTAACTTTAATTTACTTACTTTATATTGATGAGCTTCTCTGATGTCACCAACTTCAACTTACATCGACAACTTCTAAATAACTACAATCATATATCCTTATTTATAATCATTGATTATTGCTTACTTGAATTAAGTATTTATTATCTATACCTAGCCTTTTCTATTCTTTAATTAAAAAAAGAAAGAGCTTTCTTAAAATGATAGTTTTTTATGAGACAAACATTTTAAAGGCTTTTTTTGCAAAGAAAAATGTATACTAATAGGAACTAACCATTGAAATGTCTTAATGATTTTAATGCAAATTCAAAGGTCTCTGCTTCAGTGTTCGCCGTGTAATTTCTTCATACGTGGTAGAGCCACGCTACAGCTATATTATGGTTGTAGCACAAATTGATGGGTTCGACCGGGGAAAGACCACGTTCGCACAGACTACCAGTGTAAAATAGCAGCTTAATACTGTAGTGTTTCGTATGGTGAGTGTAGAGATACGGAGATCCTTTTAACTGGAAACGAGGCATTCCATCTAAGTCCTCAGCGGTGACAACGGATCTCCATTTTGATTTTTAATCGAGGATAAATGTAGATGTCTATGGGCCGCAGCATCTACTTACCATCAGGTGGACTGTGTGCTCGTTTGGCACACTTATTAAATAAAAAAATAGATCCCCTACTCCATATTATCCCGTGGGTGTCGTATGAGGTGACAGAGGGATACTAAAACAGGAGATTGGCATAAGCATTGTCCTGATAACAACTCAAAATAGTAAAATACACATTCTGTAAAATTTCAACTATCTACCTATTACGGATCATGAGATACAGCCCGCTGACAGAGAAACGGACGGAAGCCGGACGGATATACGGACGGACAGCAGAGGCTTAGTAAAAGGGTCCCGTTGGCTACTCTTAGGGTACGGAACCCTAAAAAAGAATAAGCTTTTACTAAGGAAAGCCATCATTTTCGGCCACATACTTGTAGTAATAGCTAGTTTAGTAAATCTAGAAAAAAAAACCATATGAATTTTGGTGAATTCTTTTCGTACTTCTTTTAAGGTTGACAGGCCCGTTTTTTGTTGTAGTTATTCTATTTAACGATGAAGTTTTGACTTTTGATGTTGTTAGCCGTGCGTATGCCTCGGGAGTGCTCAGTCATAACGCAAGTCGAACAAATGGCAGTTACACACACAAACGCGCCTGTCGGTACACGTCACTACAATCAAGGCGAAACCTTCGTCACGAAACAGAATAACTATACTATACATTGAGTATAATTTAATAAAGAATAAATAATTTTTTCTATAGAATAAGGGTAACAAACGAGCACACAGTCCACCTGATGGCAAGTGGATGCTGTGGCCCATAGACATCTATCTACATTTAATCTCGTTTAAGAATCAAAATGCAGATACGTTGTCAGTTGTCACCCTTGAGGACTAAAAATGAATGCCTCCAAAAAAACGGGTCTTCGGTTCTCTACACTCACCACACGAAACAGCAGCATTCTGCTGCTATTTTACGCTGGTATTCTGTGAGAACGTGGTTCTCCCCCGGTCGAGCCGACCCATTCGTGCCACAACCATTATACAGATGCAGCGTGGCTCTAGCACGTAAATAAATAGTATTATTTATTACAGTAGATAATTCTTATGAGTTATCTACAATAAGCATAACCGTTACATCCTATTGAAGCCCACTGCTGAACATAGGCCTCCCCCATAGATTACCACATAGGGGGAATATTTGCCATAGTTGTCACGCTTAGTAGGCGGATTGACAACCGTAGTGTTTTATTTTTAAGAAGACCCAGCCCATCTCCTGTTTTGTTTCCCTTTGGACCTCTTTTAATTTTTTTATCACTGTTCTTTATCTAGTCACGCTGCAGCCATATTTACATGGTAGAGTCATGTTAACGTGGTAGAGCCATGTTGCTGCTATATTACGGTTGCAACATGGCAACATGAATGGGTTGACTCTACCGAGGAGGAACCTCGATATAACAGTATACCAGCGTAAAACAGCGGCTTAATGCTGCTGTGTTTAGTATGGTGAGTGTAGAGAATCCCTTTTTTGGTAACGAGACGTTTCACCTATGTTCTTGTGGGTCCACATCTTCATTTTCACTCCTAATCGAGGATGCATGTAGATCTCTATGGGCTGCAATATCCATGGACTGTGTGCTCGCTTGTCACCCTTATTCTATTAAAAATTTTGTTGTAGCACAAATGGGCTCTGCCAGAATACAAGCGTAAAATAGCAGCTTAAAACTGCTGTGATTCGTATAGTGAGTGTAGAGAACCGGAGACTCTTATTACTGGAAAAGGAGACAATCCATTAACTAAATGGAATGCCTCCTTTTCCTCAAGGTTGACAACTCATCAGCATTTTGGTTCTTAATTAAAAATTTTAGGTTGTAGATATACATGTCCGCCCATTGTTACCTTAGTTATATAAGTGTAACAATTAAGAATAAATAAATAAAATAAAATAAATAAATTATTTGAGGTGATATTATATGATCTGGAAGCGTAAGCAAATTCACTAACCCATAATATCATCCCGTGAGTATAGTAAAAGGTAACAGAGGGAAAATGAAATAGTAAATGGGTAGCAACATCTTACAAATAAAAACACAAAAATAATTAAAAAAAACTGCGGTTTTTTTTATAGTATAAGTGTGACAAACGAGCACACAGTGGACCTGATAGTAAATGGATGCTGTGGCCCATAGACATCTAAATTTATCCTCGATTAAGAATCAAAGCGCAGATGCGTTGTCCACCCCTGAGGGCTAAGATGGAATGCCTCGTTTCCAGTAAAAAAGGGTCTTTGGACCTCTACACTCACCATACGAAACACATCAGTGTTAAGCTGCTATTTTTCGCCGGTTTTCGGTATTCTATGAGAGCGTGGTCCTTCCCCGGTCGAGCCGACCCATTCGTGCTACAACTATACTACTAATATAGCTGAAGCATGGCTCTACCACGTAAAAGCGTTTGTTGACCGGGCGACTATGGCGAATATCCATCCAACTGCGCGGTAACTATGACAAATATTCTTCACGTTATGATAAATATGATAATATATATGCAATCTATGTTGCCTATCAACACTGGAGTTCGACAGCCTCTAATTAATGTATGAATAAATGAAACATTTATTTTGCAACTATATTCTGAAGAAAGTGTTTATTGCATCACCTAATAAAGTATTCCGAGCGTACAATTTTCAACTTTCGACAGCTTTCGATCTTATTTCGCTGTGTAATAATAATATACAACGGTTACGGTGGCATCTGCTACCGTTTTCCATAACGCCCCGGTAATTACGTCAAACAGTAGATAACCTTCTTTTTTAACCGACTTCAAAAAAGAGGATGTTCTCAATTTGCGTGTATGTTCTTTTTATTGTATGTAAGTTACGCGATATCTTGTAAATTGAAAGGGTTCGAATTACAGCCTATATGCTTACTGCCGGGCACGGGCCACCTCTAATTTATGAGAGGGTTATAGGACAAGGAAATGTCCGCCGTGCATCCTCAATGCGTGTTGGCGAACTTCACATGTCTTCGAAATATTATGATCTTCTTATTTCTCAGACATGCAGGATTCCTCACGATGTTTTCCTTCACCGCCGATGCGTTGTCAACTCTGCGGACTATGATGGAATACCTCGTTTTCAGCAAAAAGCGTCTTCAATTACTATTTCACGCTGGTATTCTGTGAGAGCGTGGTACTTCCCCGGTCGATCCGATCCATTCGTGCTACAACTATACTACTAATATAGCTGCAGCATGGTTTTACCACGTATAAATATATATTATTACAAGAGAAACCACTACGAGTATTGATTTTTGGTTATGTAAAATGAATATGCGAAAATAACACAACAGCTTTTTAATAGTGGATAATAATAACTAGTTATTTAATAGCGAGGCCTTTAATGACGCCTGGGGAAACGTATAGCAATTTTGGGGAAAGTTTAAATACCGCTAGCTCAGCAACAATCTAGTGAAACTCAAAAATGTAGAGGATTTTAATAACTTTTGCATACGACGATTAGGTGACCGTGGATAATGCGGGAATTCTGGTTGTTATATAACGATGTTATTACAAGAATTCTTATTACAAGTTTTTAACCGACGTCGAAAAGGAGGAGGTTCTCAATTCGACTGTATTTCTTTTTATGTGTGCTAACTCAAAACTTTTGTCTGGTCGATTTTGATGAAACTTTTTTTAAATGCTTTTCATTTGTTCCCATGTAAATTTGATCAGGATTTGACGTGTGGTTTCTGAGTTATCCTTAATAATACGTATTTTTTCGACTACATTGACGATTTTCTCATTTTATTTATATTGAAGTGGGTTGCTGTTGGGTGTACAAATTTTTTAATTTCACCACTTGTTTTTTAACAACAATACAACTCAAAACGAGCGGTAAAAGTACAGTCATCAACAAAACATGCGGCGTCATGGGAGCTAAGTAGAGATGATTATTAGAAAGGAAAATAGGGGGATAGAACAATTCGAACCCTATTATATAGCAGCGGATATGACTCTCATAAACATAATGATAATTGGTAATGTAACATTTCTCTAGAAGCCCGTAATTTAAAGAGATATGTGGTAATATCGAGAGCCATGTGGTATGAAGTGTATGATAAGCCCCTGCTAGAAATTGCTCTTAGAATCCCTTCATATTACCGTATCAGCCTAAAGTTCACCGAACATAGCCTCCAATAGATTGCCTTGAAAAGGGGATATTTTATATAACTGCATGTCTACACCTGCATGTCTAAGTAATAAATTCCAGAATTTTTTTTTGAATTGATTCTTACAATTGCATGATGCATATTTTTAAACAGGTGCTCTTTGGGGATGTCAGCTCGGATTTTCAAGACATTTTTACTAGAGTTGGGCCGATTAGCCGCCGACTAATCGGTGAAGCCGATTAATCGGCCTATTTGTAGTCATCGATTATTCGGCGTTTAATCGGCTTCTTATTTTATTAATTTCAGCAAAGATTTTTCGTAATTTTCTGCGTGGTAAATGCGGCTACATTGATATGAGTAAAGCTTTAAATTTAAGAAAAGAATAGTTTCTCTCCCATGCGTAAGATTTATATGTAGGTAAATCAAATAAATAATAAAATAAGTAGGTACATACATAAGTTTTATTGAAAAATCAGTCAGTTAATTATTCTGGACATAGAAACTTTGTGTTTTTGTGTGTATCTGAGGTAGCTATTTAAATTTAAAACTAAACGAAAACCTAAGTG